CACACAGGGAGAATCCCGACAATGGGTCTCTCCCACAAACCCTCTCTACAAACCCCCCCTTTTTTTGCATATATACTATGAGGGGGAGAGATGAATACAAGGAGCCAATGTGTAGGCGACTCACTATTGTTTTTGATATATATTTAATTGAATTATTAGGTATTAGAAATGATTACCAATGAATCTGCAAATGTTTTAAATTTATTTGTGAATTAAGAAACTAGGATACGTATTGTCATTTACTAGGACAGACTTGCATTAGATTATCTGTTAGCTGCGGAGAGAAGTGTTTGTAGGAAGTTTAACTTAAGCAACTGCTTTTTAAAGATCGATGACAACGGAAATGTGATAGACAAAAATAACTGACAGGATGAGGAAGTTAGCTCATGTGCCAGTGAAGACATGGGATGGATTTAATGTTGATGGCTGGTTCGGTGACTGGTTTCCAAATGTGAATGGGATGAAGGCCATGTTGGGAGTAGTTATGGCAATACTGGCAGCCTGTATTTTCCTCCCTTGTCTGATACCTTTAGGGACTAGAATGATCAAGAGTTTCGTAGAGACCACTGTAGAGAGAAAAGCTGCAGCCCATGTAATGGCTCTGTGGAAATATCAACCACTGGTCCCCCGAGACTAACTGGGACTGCTATTAGCCCATCCTGTGTACTAAAGATGCCCCCCTGTATTTTATTAGTCTGTTAATGATGCTTTATCTTGCTCAGGCTTTCGCTGCGAGAGCATCAAAGGGGGGAATGTGGCAGCAGACAGCAGCAGACACAGTTGCTACGCTTGACAAAATAGCTAACTGTATTTAATTAATTCATGTTTTATTTGGATCTACATATAACGAGGCCCCCCTCCCTCTTTCTGTCTTTTTAACTACAAATGCAAGGACAGAAGCTAGTGTCTAAAGGGCCCCTTTCACTTCCTGTTCTAGAGTCTAATTTTGTAAACCACAAATAGGGTTGCCACCTATCCAGGATTCACCCGGACAGTCCAGGTTTTGAATGCTGTGTTCGGGTTTCATGGCAGCAGAAACCCGGACACAAGATGTCAGGCAGACAGGGGCAACCAAAATTAAGATAGGGGCTACTGGCCCCCCACTGAAAATAGTCTCAACTGTGATATGTACATAAGAATGGGTGGAGCTATTTACATATCAATATACGTTGTTCGATATACGGCTGAAATCAGCCGTACAAACCTGAAGTAAATAGCCGAACAGCGTTCGGCTCACTTCGGCTGCCTACGACAGCTTAGTGAATAGACCCCTGAATCTTAAAAATACGTTCAAGTAGCTTAACTATTAACAAAAATGTATCTTATTTGTGTATCACTCGGCTGTAGATTCTCAAATCATCTCTGAATTGGTGCTGACACTGTCCTTCCTTCTGGAGGGGGGGCTACTTTTGTTCCCAATGGTCGGTCCCTGTGTGTGTTGTAATGTTATTGCTATTATGGTTTGTAATGTAGCCACCCTCCAGAAAGAAGGACAGTGTCAGCACCAACGAGTGATACACAAATAAGATACATTTTTGTTCATAGTTAAAGTGATATTAAAGTTTATTTTTTATGTTTCCACCTAGGAGGCCCGCCTTTGCACAAATCTTCTTTTCTACTTAATTCTTAAACATTTTTGGGTTCCTCGTTTTCTAGTGGGTCCCTGCAGCGCTCTCACCCTGCCCTAAGCAGCTGCTGTGGTTGCACCTGTGCGTGCTCGTCCCCGCAGTAGCTTTGCACGTCCATAGACATACAGCCCTGCAGCAGGCCACACCCCTCCTCTCCGCTCACCAGTTTGATTGATGGCAGAAGGAGCCTATGGCTCCACTGTCATCTGTATCCTCCTCCGCTGCAACCAGGAAAAACAGGGAACAGAGGATCGCTTTGGGACCGGTGGCTGCCCAGAATAAGTTAAAAAATGTCCAGACTTTAATGATACTTTAATTTACCTGAATGCATTTTTAAAATTCAACTCCTTAGTTTAGTGTCACTTTAAAGTCAGGTAGCAGGAGAGCTGTCTCCATTGTCTCCTCCGGTACATCTGATGTGTCAGCTCTTCTTGATTGGAAATGTCACAGGGGGGTACAGGATCAGTGTCAACAGCACCTTTGGCAATCCGCAATGGGGCCCCCCTCCACCACCAGGCCCCCATAGCAGCTGCATAGGTTTTTTTGGCTATTGTTATGCCGCTGCTCCTGTCTAATTTAGCCTGCGTGTGTATGCATGTGAGATAGGGAGCTTATAGATTATGAACTCATGGATGGAAGGTATTGATGTGAATGAATAGTATGTACATATGTATTCCAGAATCCTGCTGCACTCCTTACTGGGTATCCCTATCAGCGTGGGTGCTCGAAGTGACCGCGGATGGCGTCGCCAATACTGAAACTTGTTAACGCTGAAAGATGGCCGGATCGTTAGACGCCCTTCATGCTCGTGCCCTCTCGTGCGTCAGATCTCCCTCCGCTCTCCTCCCGGTCTCTGAATGCAGGAAGTGATGTGTGCTACATCACTTCCGCATTCCCCTGTCACTCTCCTGTACAGAAACCGGAGAGAAGCTGATGAAGCCCATCTGTGCTTCATCAGCTTCTCTGGGGGTCACTAGGTGACATTAGGGGTCTTAGAGACCCCTGATATCCCCATAAAGGGGACCTGTCACTGTAATTTGTAATAAACTGTAATAAAGTTAAGTGTAAAAAAAAAAAGGTTTAAGAAAAAATTGCTCACAAAATAAATAAAATTTACACACACACAAATAAAAATAAAAAAAACACCAAAAGAAAGCTCTATCTGTCCCCAAAAAATTGTATAAAATTTGTTTCAGTACAGCGTTCCATGACGGAAAAAATAAAGCGTCAATAAACAGAGGTGTTCTTCACTTCAATAGGGTGTGCTGGTGACATCTTTAACAAGTTTCAATGAATAGTATGTACAGCGCTGCGTAAATTGTTGGCGCTATATAAACACCTTTAATAAATAAATGTAATAGATTATTTACTCAATTTTGTCCAGTATAGAAGTCAATAGAACAAAAATGTACAGAGCTAGATCCTCCCCTCTTTGCACTCTTATTTTTTATGATATGATATTATGTTCATATCAGATTGATATTTTGTTATGAACCGTTTTACATGTTTAACCCTTTCCCTGCCAGCGCCGTAGGGCATACGGCGGAACAAAACTGTTCCCAGCTGGCCAGGTCAGTATGCCTTACGGCGCTGGCATATACAGTATTGCTATAAGCTCATGGTCGCTGAAGCAGTCGCTGTCCTCCTGTCAGTTTCCGGATGACAGCGGCTGTGTGCGTGGCCGAACGGAGGATCAGTAAATATCTGTGCTATTTACCGATCCTCTGTGTGGAGGACAAACACCAGAGTGATCATCTGTGTTTGCAACTAATTGAGGACACATAGTACTATGTGTCCCCTGTTCATTCATGATTTTCTTAATATGGAGTAGCACTCATACAAAAAAATAATAGAACAAAAAGACCATAAACCCCCCTACCCCCCACATAAAATACACATGCACCATATTGTGGTGTACGCCATTGCACATGCGCTTCAGTGCGTTATTAGAACGGATCGCAATGCATGAGTTTTGTCTTTTTTTTTCTTTTAACCCCTTCATGACTGAGGCCTTTTGTACCCCCAGTGTCACCTTTACACTGAAAATAAGCTATTGAAGTGCAGATCGCACTTCAATAGTTTATAGATGGGCTGCAGGAGCCAGAACTGACAGACCAGGGACCGGAAGTGATGCCAACGGCATCGCTCCCGGTCCCATAGAACGGGGAGTGGATCGATGAATGGAAGTTCGTTGATCTCCTCCCCAGCTCCCCGTGGACACCAAGGACGCCGGTCCCGTAGGAGGGGCAACGGAGCCCGTGGCGGTGTCCGGCGGGGGCGGGCCCTTCTACGGGACACAGAAGCGATCTGGCGACAGGTAAGTAACCATTATTTTAACTGTGCTCTGTGGCAGCACATGGCGAAGCTTTGTGACACATTGCTGTGCGTTGTGATACCGTGTGTTGCAATGAAATATACGACTGCCGTGTGTTGCAAGGAAATATACGACTGTATCATTCTATCACAACACCAACACAGCGCAAAAACAATTTTTAACATAAATCGCTTATTTACAGTTTTGCGTTCCTTCATTTTTTTACCTTTTGGCAAAAGGGCGCAATTTCAGATTTCTACATATTTGTTATTTATTAACTCAATACAGTTTTATCTTTTTAATTTTTTATGTGTGCACTGATACTGATTTTAAGGCTTTATCAATTTAATTTTGTATTTTTATCAGTTTAGTATTAATTTGAGAAACATTTGCGCAATTATCGCAGGGCCTACCAAGTTAGTAGCACCATCTTTTTATTCTGCAGGGCCTGCGCTTTCAGAAAATATATGGTTTGGGGGACCTTTAGCTACGCAGCAGTTGAAAATAAAATCAATGGGAAACATTGCAAAAATGGTGTGGCCAGCTGGGTTGCAAAATGTTCCGAAGGGCTTGGCAGCGAAAGGGTTAAGTAACATTTGCCTAATAAAATGCGGCAGATCTTTGCAGGCTCATAACTTATTTATCACTACCCTGTGATAATTGTTATATTGTAACAAACAAAAAAGAACGCAAAGCAGATCCTTTCCTCTGTTGTCCTGGCAACCAGATAAAACAATCATCGTTGCCCCTGGTGACCTGACGAGACTTGTTACATCTTTAGATCTGAAGAACGCCCGCCCGCCCCTCCTCTGTGTGCTCGGATTGCAGAGCTGCGGTCGGGGGTGGGCGTGACCTGCCATTTATAAAAAGGCGTTATCTGTCAATGGAGTGAAGACTCGTGTCCGAGGCGATGGGCGGGTGCGTGGGAAATATATGGGGGCGTGGTTATGTAAACGACGCCGTGCCGCGGTTTCGAAAGTCAGATGAGGGGGCGTGGCTAAAGTCCAAAACCGAAGGCGAGGCGTGGTTTGCGCGGTCGCGGGGCGTGGCTTGCAGCGTCGCAAACCCGGCTGTGGCCTCGGAGAGTTGGGCACACTATGGCCGGCCCGGGTGTCTATTCGGCCAGCTTGTTCACGCTGCTCGTCCTACCGGCGCTCTGCGCTTCTCAGGCCGAGGTCTCGCACCCCACGGAGTTTCCATACATCCTGGGCTTCCGCATGGAGGGCTGCGACAGGCCCGCCGAGCTGTCAGATAGCGGGGAGCTCGAGGTGACGGAAGGCAGCCGCCTGCGGCTCCGCTTCTATGGCCTGAACCTGCAGACCGACATCGATAACTTGCTGGCCTTCACCGAGGCTGCGGTGGAGGCTCAGGACAACAGCAGCTGCGTGAAGGACACCGGTGACCTGGTGAGGGACTCTATAGGGCTGAATGTGAGCGAGGTGGCTGGGGGTACGGCCGCCCTCCTGGTGGTAAAGGTCCTGCCCCTGAGGAAGAGCCAGAGCTCCCGGGTCTACATCCTTTGCACGCGGCGGGGCCCCGGGCAGCCCTGGACCCTGCACCCGGGCCCGGACGGGCGCCTGCGGGTCATAGAGGCTCACAAGCCGCTCATGCCAATCTGGCTGCAAGCAATTGTCATCGCGGTGCTGCTGAGCCTGTCCGGCATCTTCAGCGGCCTTAACCTGGGACTGATGGCCCTTGACCCCATGGAACTGCGGGTGGTGCAACGCTGCGGCTCAGACAGGGAGAGAAGGTACGCCGCCAAGATCGAACCGATCCGTCGCCAGGGCAACTATCTTCTCTGCTCTCTGCTGCTTGGCAACGTGCTGGTCAACACCACGCTCACCACCCTGCTGGACGAGCTCATCGGATCAGGAATCGCCGCCATCGCCGCCTCCACCACGGGCATTGTGGTGCTTGGAGAGATTGTTCCTCAAGCTCTGTGCTCCCGCCATGGCCTGGCGGTAGGGGCCAACACTCTGTGGTTGACTCGGATCTTCATGGTGGTCACATTCCCCCTCGCCTATCCAGTGAGTCGCCTTTTGGACTGCGTTCTGGGTCAGGAGATCGGTACCGTCTACAATCGGGAGAAGCTCCTAGAGATGCTCAAGGTGTGTGAATAATGGCCCCAAGGAGACCTATCCCAGCAGTCCAAGAAAGCTCCCGATGTCTATTCCGATACCGGAACTTCCGGTATGAAGAAGCCGGGTGGTGAGTCATTACACGCTGCCCAGCTTTCTGATTGGCCGGCTCCATGCTCCCTTGTCACCAGGGAGCATAGAGCAGGCTTTCCGGCCAATCAAGGACCCGGGGGGAGGGGGTAATGACTCGGCCTCCTGCTTCCTGATTGGCAGTGAAGCCGTCTCCATGCTCCCTCATCACTTGGTGACGAGGAAGCATGGAGCTGGCCTCCCGGCCAATCAGGAAGCCGGACGCCGTGTAATGACTCGCCGCCTGGCTTCCTGATAGGCCAGAAATCTAATTGGGAAGCCAGGAGGCGAATCATTACACACCGCCCGGCTTCCTTAATGGGACTTCCAGTATCGGTATTCTGTATCGGCAAATACCGGGGAAAAAAATATCGCTACTGGAAGCTGAAAAACTAGTATCGGTGCACCCCAAGTAGATTGTCATCACTGGGGAACGCTTTAATTTACCCAACAAAGAGTATGACTTGAACTCCACATTTGTTAGTATGTACGGCACCTATTGCGTCTGCTTTAAACTACACTTGTCATGAGCAATACATTGGAGACATCTAGTGGCTCTTCTGATTCTCCGGCATTCACTCTTGCCTTTTAGATGAAGTAAATATTTCAGGACAGTTGGAGAAAACTCAGTAGTCCTTCTCTGCATATTTGATCGGGGTCAATGACTCAAAGTATGGAAGGAAGAGGGTTAGATTAAAGGTGGCCAAACACTGAGCTGTGGGTGGTCCTGCCAGGACCCCCCTTTGCTTCAATCATCTTTCATTGAAGAAGCCAGTCTGAAATCTCTTTGCCGAACGGATTCCAATCAGACGCAGGCAATATTCAGGAGTCGCCAAAGCAGCGGCTGTTGACTACAATAGCTGGCTAGAGGGATTCCTCCATCTACCCTGTTTCCCCGAAAATAAAGCCTACTCCGAAAATAAGACCTAGTACTATTTTTGGGAATTGATAAAATATAAGACCTAACCCGAAAATAAGACCTAGTTGTGACCATTCCCAGGGCCGGTGGTGGCATAAGGGGGGAACTTGAAGAGCCGCGTGAGAGAATCAGCGGTGCCACCAAAGCCAGCGCTAGAGGAAGCAATGCGGCAACGGAGGGAGCAGACCCGCATAAGCTGATGCCTCCTCTATAGCGCCGGCTCCTGCCACATGCGGAGTGATACCAAATGCACTCCGCCTGTGAGGAATTGATAGTGAAAGTGCACTTCGCTCATTCTGGCCAGCGATTGGTTAGCAAATTGCTCTTGGAAAGGTACAGCACCCCTGATTGCCCTGATCACTATATTTTTGTACATGAATACATGTGGACTTTTCTACATGAATAAGTGTGGAATGTTGTACAAAAAAAAATTAAGACCTAGTGTGTTTTTTTGAGCCCAACAAAATATAAGACAGTGTCTATTTTTGGGGAAACACGGTATGCTGATCAGCGTGGGTAAGGGAATGAGTGGATTTCTGAAATCCGTAGAGTGTATGGGCAGCCTAAAGTAGTGTTAAAGACTAGTCATTTTTTGCCTTAATGCATTCTCTGCATTAAGATATAAAAACTCCCATTACCTTTTTGTGTCCCATCCCCCACACCACACTTTACCTGTATCACTGATGCCGGTCCCCGAAACGATCCTAAGTTCACCGAACTTCCTGGTTGCGGGGGGAGGTAACAGAGCAAAGGGCCCATAGGCTCCTTCTGCCGTCAATGACCCTAAAGGGAGGAGAGGAGGGGTATGGCCTGCCGTAGTAGCTGTGTGTGTGTCTATAGACGCACACAGCTACTGCAGGCATGGCCGTCAATGCGCACGGGTGCCTCCACAGCAGCCGCTTAGCTGTGGAAGGCACCCGTGCGGGGGGAGAGCGCTGCCGGGACCCACTAGCAAACAAGCAACAACACAATTTTTTTTTTTTTTAAAGAAAAAGAACAGAATATTTATAAAAAGGTGGGCCTTCTAGATGTAAAAATAAAACAAAAATGAAGCTTTAACTAGGGCTGCAACCAACTAATCGATAATGAGAATGGTTGTCAACTATTCTCATAATCGATTCATCGATAATGAAAATGGTTGTCAACTATTCTCATTATCGATTAGTTGGTTGGATCCCCTAGCTCTCTCCTCCACGCTGGGAGGAGGGCACAGCAAGCAATGGGCGGGTGCAATAGCCAGCCTATTATTGGCTATTGCAATTAAAATGGCCAATAGCAGGCTGGCTATTGCACCAGCCCCACTACCTGCTGTATTTACATTCAGCTGCCGCCTGCAGAATCTTGCCATTGGCAGCTGTCATTCCCTGGCTGAAGCCATTCCAGCGCCATGTCCTTACAATACAGGTATTGTAAAAGGTAGGCGGGCGCACCGTGGGACAGGAAGTGCCAGCAAGCACAGAGGAGTCGGCGCTGGATCGGAGACCTGCAGCTGCGCTGGAGGGACAGATGAAAACGGCAGGAAAGAAGATCGGATTAAGAGACATCATTTAAGCTAAGTGCTTTAATTAACATTGGGGGGAGGGAAACTTTTTTTGACTCTATTCGCCGTTTTACGGATGCACGCAATTTGTAACCTGGGCATGTTGGGTATCGTTTTACTCGTTGTAACCTCATCTTTTATATTTCATTAAAAAAATGGGTATTTTGTTGTGTTTTGGGGCATTTAATTAAATTTTTCACTAAATATTGGGGTTTAATAAGGAGTTGCGCTAATATTGCGCAACATAAAAATTTGCAACTACCACCATTTTATTCTATAGGGTCTTGGCATTCAGAAAATATATAATGTTGGGGGGTTTTAAGTAATTTTCAGGCCTAAAATGTGGAATATAACATGGGTACAAAAAAATGAAAAAAAAGGCCTCAGTCATGAAGGGGTTAAGGATGGTATTTAATTTTTTTAAAATCAGATTTAATCAAAAAAATTATCGGCCAAAATAATCATTGGCTCCAGCCTTAGCTTCAATATAACTTTAACAGCCAGGCTGCCTGCATTTTCAGAAGAAGTCACCAGTGGCAGCCTCCCCGTTTCCTTTAAATGAAAGCAGGAGCGAGAGTTGTATGGTAGGGAATCCTTTGCTGAAATGAGAATTTCCTGGCTGTCATATATGTTGACCTGGAATTAGTGATGCAAACAAAGAGTTTTGTCTTGACTTGCTGCTGCATGCTCTTTTCAGGTCCGTGACTTAGAGAATTGAAGCTGGGAACAGCCAGGCAAATAGTATTCTCAGGAGGATATCAGAAATGGCAGCGCTGTCTCTCATTAACAGTTTGCTTTAAAGTGAGTGAGCCATACAGTATACACATACAGTATACACAGGAGAGTTAAGGTTTTTCTTTGGCAGTTCCAGTTGTTAGATCCCCATCAGGGAAACGAGACAGTTTATTCTTTGTCTCCAGCTCCATTCCTTGCCTGTGGTGATAAGACCGCAGTGAGATATGGAGATATAGTAGCGCACTGTTTGATCTTGGTATCGGTATCGGTGCCGATGCCGAGTATTTGCTCCGATGCCTAGCCTGATACTTCCGGAAGCTGGGCAGCGCATCATGACACGCTGCCCGCCTTCCTGATTGGCCGTGAAGCCGGCTCCATGCTCCCTCGTCACTTGTGAGGAAAGAGCATCTTCTGTAATGACGGGCTGCCCGGCTTCCTGATTGGTCGGGAAGCTGGCCAATCTGAAAGCCGGGCACCCGGCTTTCTGATTGGCCGGGAAGATGGCTTCATGCTCCCTCTTCACCTCATGACGAGGGAGCATGACACGGCGCCAGGCTTCCTGATTGACCAGAAAGCCAGCTCCATGCTTCTCGTCACCTAGTGACGAGAAGCATGTAGGTGACGAGAAGCATGGGGACGGCTTCCCTGCTAATCGGGAAGCCGGGTGGCGAGTCTTTACACGCCGCCCGGCTTCCCGGCTAATCAGGAAGCCAGTTGGCGAGTCATTACACGCCGCCTGGCTTCCTGAATGGGACTTCCGGTATTCGATATCGGTGAGTACCAAAAAAAAAATATTGGTACTCTATACCGAAATACCGGTATCAGTGCATCCCTACTCTGCACCCATAATCTTTCTGTCCGTTGGTTCATTGTGCCAGCTGATTCCGCTTGCCAGGTGACTGCAAGGCCTTGTTACGAAAACGGTTGGATAAGCACTCTACGCCGTTGGGAAATAAAAAGCTGCTCCTTCTCATGGAAGGCATTGTAGGCTGCGTCCTTTGCATTGTCACATACTTGTCCTCTGTATTCAATGTGTACACTTTTGTTGCAGGTTACAGAGCCGTATAGCGGCCTGGTCCGTGAAGAGATGAACATTATTCAGGGAGCTCTAGAGCTGCGCACCAAGACCGTGGCAGATGTGATGACCAGGGTGGAGGACTGCTTTATGCTCCCCAGCGATGCCGTGTTAGACTTTAACACCATGTCCAGCATTATGGAGAGCGGATACACCCGTATACCGGTATATGAAAATGAACGGTCCAACATTGTGGACATTCTGTATGTGAAGGATTTGGCCTTCGTAGACCCAGACGACTGCACCACTTTGAACACCATTGCCCGTTTCTACAGTCACCCTGTTCACTTTGTGTTTAGTGACACCAAATTGGATGCTGTCCTTGAGGAGTTTAAGAAGGGTGAGTGTCTTCAGTTCCTCGATTCTCATCTGTGGCTTTACTTATCTTCTATGTTTTAGTATTATTTTGTGTTAAAGTGTAATTCCACTTTCCTAGGCAAATCTGGGAAAATTGAATTAGCCCACCAATCTGCCCTCTCTCCCTCCCCCTGCTGCTCCCTACCCTTCACAGCTCCCGCTTTACTATCCGTACTATGTGCACTGGATTGCAGCCCTGCAGTGTGTACTTTAAATGTCAGCAGAATTGAAGAATTGTCACCAGCACGCCAGTCCTTTTAAGATAGCAAAAGCTTCATATGAACTACAAGCGCTTTCCGGACCTCACAGGGTCCCTTCATCAGGCTTTAGCATTGACCTCACCTTAGTTTAAATGTCACTCAGAAATGATGAGCACTCTCCTAACCATGCTGACCGATGAGAAGCGCTTCTTACTGATCAACGAGGTCAGAAGCGCTTCTTACCGGGAGCCGCAGAGGGTAAGGAGAGATCATGGACAGGTAGGAGCATTGGTTCCCAGTGCACTCCATAATATTTACCATAGATTGGCATTTAAGTACCTTTTTTTTTTCCACTTGGTTTTCCATGTGGTCATGTGAAGACCCGGCTCCTCTGTTCGGCTGGAGGGAGGGAATTCTCTCCTACTCTGACAATTAGTAGAGCTGTGGATGACGTCACTGCTCCATAAAATTCAGCCCCATTGCCGGCTGTGCACATGACACCAGAGCCAGGTTTTGAAGTTCAAAGACCACACAGAAAGCCAATTGAGAAAGGATATTTAAATTCTGATTTATGCTAAATATTAGGCAGCGCAATGAGGAGCAATTGGGAGGCAGCATGAAGAAGTTGGGGTGTTGTATAGCCTGAATTTCTACTTTTAAGGGGCTAATGCCATTCACACAGCATTGCTGGCACTAGATGGTACAGAGGAACACAGGAAATTCCTATTGGCCCTCTAGTGGTGGTAATGCCATGCGAACAGCCCTGCTTTATGCATATCCGAGGCTCATTCAAAAAGTAATTCCTCCATGTCTGTAATTTGAGCTCTATTAGAGTGTCTGTGAATGTTCATGCACCATGTTATTGAGGTGTCCTTACTCCACTAATGTGCGCTTTTCTTTTTCAGATTGAGTGATTTAGAACCATGGAGCTGTAATTGAATTTCTGGCGTAAGAGGGTTGCACACCTAAGGAAATCCATAATTGTCTAAAGAATGTTTATGGGGACTCTGTAGAGGACATTAGCAATGTGCAGCGTTGGGTGAAGAAGTTTCAAGGAGAAACTCCACTACAGCATCCCCATAAACATTCTTTATCCAATTATGGATTTCCTTAGGTGTGTAACCCTCTTAAGACATTCAATTACAGCTCGTTGTTTTAGCCGCAAATCCATGGTTCTAATCAGTGAATCTGAAAAAGAAAAGCTTACATTAGTGGGGTAAGGACACCTCCTATAGCATGGTACATGAACGTTCACAGACACTCTAATAGAGCTCAAATTACAGGCAAGGAGGCATTTCTTTTTGATTTTGTAGATATTTGCCCCAACATAAAAAAAAAAATTACCTGTGTCAGCGCCGCTCGCTCCTGGCAGCAGAGGTTCCGGCTCCTGAACGCTGTGAAGAAGGAAGTGTGGGCGGGCGCATGGGCAGTACAGATAGTTGGAGAGGAGGAGAGCAACGCTGAAGCTGGATGGACGCAGCTGGGAGCGCACACGTCGGACAGACTCCGTGAGAAAGAAAGAGGAGTCTTCAGTGGGTCAGAGACTGGCACCAGCGCTGGATGGACTGTAGAAAATGAGTGGAAGGCCGAAGCTGTTCGGATCAATAGGCATCACACAAGGTAAGTCCTTACATAAGCATTGCGGGGGAATAATTACCTTTAATGTCACTTTAAGATGTGTTTTCAGTTACAGTATCTTTGGACTGTTGTTTTCAGAATACCAGTTATGTTCGGTTCCTCTTCATCTGGCTCTATAGATTGCCTCAGCCCGAAGTGAACAAACCAGTCTTTTTTTAAAAGGAATCTTTGAGCTGCAGTTGCTGACTTGACTTTTGAAGGTTCGGGCTTTGGAGCTTTCATCCTAACCCGGGCTTTAGTAGCAAGAGTGCCACTGACCAGGAGCAATAATGCAGGATCAATGTTGGAGTTATCCAGCTATGGACCTGAGCCCTGTCCACCTACATCTTAACTGCCCAATGAGTGTACCTCCGAGAACAGTAACGTGGATCTTGAGGGTTCTCAGTCTCTAGATTGTGGGGAGGGAGGTTCAATGATCTTTTTGATGGATGCCTATATCAAGTATGGAGACTACCATTGCTGACTCCTCATACCATTCCCTTGGCTGTCATGCTGTTCACTGCCTTCAGTATTTTGAGTTGCTGACACAGAGCTGGTCACCCAACTACCTTTACCAGTTCAGAATGACTTGTACAAACATTTTCTGGGAATAAATACATTGCATGTTGCTCCAATCAACAATTACATCTGCTAGCTCCAATCATACAAAAGCAATCAACACCTTACCTCCATGAGGTCTCTTATCCCATGCTAGTTATGATTAAAAGATCATGTTGATTGGAGCAACATTCACCATATTTATTCCCAGATAATCTTTCTACAAGCCATTGTGAATTTAGAAAGTTAGTCTTATGACCAGCAAAATACAGCAAGTCCAGTTGCTTTGATTTAGTTTTTACAGATATGACCCAGAGAAAAGTGGGAGCCCTGACTTTCCTAATCTGCTATGCTAGTTTCGGTAAGTCAGAAAAGTTGGGGTTTTTTAGGCAGCCGACTGACAACTTGCACACCAAGAATTTCTTGAAAAAGTATATTTTAATTGATTAAAAAGCAAATAGAATTGATAAAATTGACAACATGATTCCCCTGTAAACTCACTCCACATTGATTAAATTCATTCATATATAGATGACAATCAGAATTCTTGTGCAATTGAACATGATTGAAAAGTTCATAAATACATAACATGATTAATATAATGAAAGATGATGGAGGAGCTTGATTTTCTCAACGTTTCGCACTAGATAGCGCTTCTTCAGGAGATGAAGAGGGAAGTTGTCTATACAGTTTAGAGAAAATATATATAGAAGATATAAACATAATTGAACTTCAAACATAGCCACTTGAACTTGTCTCGTGGTATGGTACACAGGTAGGTATATGTATATAAATATATCACCTACCCTTGGAGTCTGTGTGCGTCCCAGTCGTTCCCCCTGGCTCAGACCGTGAAGGAATAAAAGCAAGAGGAGGAGGAATAAAAGCAAGAGGAGAGAGAAAATGAAAAGAGGCCCCAGACCCCAGTAGAGGCAGACCCAATCGGGAGATGGCGGGGGTACCTTGTTAGAAAAGCAAATCAGAAAGTTAGATGGTACCACTTGGGGCCTCAAAGGAAAACATAAAACTAATCTGAGTATCAGTGGAAACAAGCCATTGTACCCTATCATCCTTACTGGATATAATGCTTAAAGTAAGTACATACCACTCCTCGCAAAAGATTGGGAGTAGATACAAAACGTTGACGGTCAGCCTGGCTTGGATCAGGTGACGATGTGATGACGTCACCACGGGAGCGCCGTTATCAGCACCCACACGAGCCCCCAGCGTCAGTGTACAGCCTGCAGGGCTGTATTAGCTGCTGGGGGCACGATATCGAGAGAGAGGAACGGTTACCTTACTACGCTGACCGTCAACGTTTTGTATCTACTCCCAATCTTTTGCGAGGAGTGGTTTGGGGAAAAAGATATACTAGTCTTCTCCTATAGAATCTCATCTCATTGAGCTTCCCGCAACAAGCAACACAACTAATGTGTGAACGGACCTATTGAGAACCATGAGATTCTTCATCTTGAGCACTGGTGTGCTTCAGGAATCACGCAGCAAAACAATGGCGAATAGTGCCCCTTTGTCAGTATTGAGGCATGTCAGCCATGCATCTTGCATTCAGAGGATGTCTGAGACAGCAGGTCCCATATCTCTCCCAGTACTCCTTTTGCCCATATACAGTATCTCCTAGTAACAGCTGTACTTTGGTATAAACTACAGCATCAAGGTCACCCCCTAGGTATCCTACAAATTGAGGTACAAGATCTTTTTAACATCATGATAAAGATCCTAGAGATGGCTGCTCGGCCCCTTCAAGCAACGCAATACCGAGTGTGACAACTGTTGGTGTATCAATTTGAAAAAGCCAGCACACCATGGTTACCAGCAGAGGCTTTACAGGTGAAGCCATGTAAATAATCCAACATTTTGGAGACCCGAGGGTCCCCTTCAAAAACAAGGTGACAATGACGATGTGATTGTATGTATTTGTATTCAGACCACTTTTTTTAGTTATATTGCAGCCCTGATACGACAGTTTAAATTCTTTATTTCTTTTTCTCATTAATCTACACTCCGTGCCCCATAATGACAAAGTGAAAACAGAATTTTAGAAATGTTTGCAAATGTATGAAAAAGGTAAAACCTGAAATATCACATTGGTATAATTATTCAGACCCTTTGCAACAACACTTGAAATTTAGCGCAGGTGGCTCCCATTTCTCTTGAAGATGTCTCTACACCTTGATTGGAGTCCACCTGTGGTAAATTGATTGGACATTATTTGGAAAAGCACACACCTCTCTATCGAAGGCTTCACAGCTGACAATGCAAACTGTATCGGAGCAAAAGCAATGAAGTCAAAGGAACTGCCTGCAGAGCTCAGAGACAGGATTAAGGTGCCCATACACCTTACAATTATCTGCAGATTTTCTGTGGTCAGATTGAAAAGGTGCAACAGATTCCTCCATCTACACTTTACTGTGTAGATGGAGTAATCTCCACCTGGGCCAATCTGTTGCACTTTTTCCATCTGACCACAGAAAATCTGTAGATAATTGTAAGGTGTATGGGCAGCTTTTATTGCAAGGCACAGATCTGGAGAAGGCTACAAAAAATGTCTGCTGCACTGAAGGTTTCCATGAGCACAGTGGCCTCCATAATTCTCAAATGGAAGAAGTTTGGCACAACCGGGACTCTTCCAAGAGCTGGCCACCCGGCCAAACTGAGCAATAGGGGGCCTTAGTAAGAGGTGACCAAGAACCTAAAGGTCACTCTGACTGAGCTCCAGAGACCCTGTGTGGAAATGGGACAAAGTTCCAGAAGGACAACCATCACTGCAGCCCTCCACTGATCTGGCCTTTATGGCAGAGTGGCTATACAGAAGCCTCTTCTCAGTGCAAAACACATGAAAGCCAGCTTGGAGTTTGCGAAAAAAGCCCCTGAAGGAATCTTGACTGTTAGGAACAAGATTCTCTGGTCCGATTGAACCGTTTGGCCTGAATTCTAAACGTTCTGTCTGGAGGAAACCAGGCACCACTCATCACCTACCAAATACCATCCCAACAGTGAAGCATGGTGTTGGCAGCTTCATGCTTTTGGGGGTGTTTTTCCAGCAGCAGGGACAGGGAGGCTGTTCAGGGTTGAGGGAAAGCTGAATGGAGCAAAGTACAGAGATATCCTCAATGAAAACCTGTTCCACAGAGCTTAGGACCTCAGACGGGGCCAAAGGTTCACCTTTCAGCATGACAACGATCCTAAACACACAGCCATGACAACACAGGAGTGGCTTGGGGACAACTCTGTGAATGTCCTAGAATGGCCCAGCCAGAGTCCTGACTTGAACGCTATTGAACATCTCTGAAGAGACCTGAAAATGTCTGTCCACTGACAGTACCCAACCTGACTGAGCTTGAGAGGATTTGCAAAGAAGAATGGCAGAAAACCCCCCCAATCCAGGTGTGCAAAGCTTGCCGTGTCATACCCAAAAAGACTTGAGGCTGTAATTGCTGCCAAAGGTGCTTCAACAAAGTACTGAGTAAGAGCTAGTTATCACCAGCCGCAGTGCGTTCTGGCCCCGGAATGCACTGGATCCAATTCCGGCCGGCTCACTTTGTTTTGGGGTGGGAGGGGGCGTGGCACTGCATTGTAGTCAGTGGCACCGCAACAACACCCTCTGGCGGCGATGAGGTCGCCTGCACCGGAACGTGTGGCATATTAGTGCCTGTGGTCTGCTGCAATCAGAAAAAAGCACAAAATGTAAAAAAGTGAAGGGGGTCTGAATACTTTCTGAATGGTGTGTGTTTATTTTATGTGGCTCACATTGTCATTTTCAGACATGCCTGTTACATTGAGCCTTCAGTTGTACTTTACATCTGTAGCTGTAGATATATATATATATATAAAGGGCTGTGCCTACTACAGAACAGTACCTTTAGGAGAGGGGTGGACAAATTCATATGGAATTTAGAAGCCAATCCAGGAACCAGCAGGATTTTATTTAGGAGCCAGCTTCATTGACTTCATTGGTAACGCATTGGCGACCTGACTCCTGGAAATTGGCCAACCTTGCCTTTTTAGAAAAATAATGATCTAATTCAGTTAAAGTTTACATATACAGGCAGTTCCCGAGTTACAAACATCTGACTTGCATACGACCGCTACTTACAAACGGAGGCTATTACTGTAGAGCAGGTGCCGACGGGACTGCCCGCCTATTTGGGTCTGGTTCGTAGTACTGTGCGTACATTACAGGAAGTTGGCTCTTGCTAGACATGCAGATGAGTGGTGCCCACCTCTTCTTCCCGGGTCATAGTGAGGTTTTTACTGCTATCTGTATCCTCAGAAAGATTTAATGTCCCTTCCTGTCCTTGAGACAACCGAAAGTGAAAGGAAATCTACCCCTAGGAAGGGAAATTCACTCCTGTAAGAGTTATCATGGGAAAATGGTGCCACTGAAGCTTTATCACCAATCCTTGTTTCCACGACAACCCAAAATTTTCAAAATCCACAGGAAGTGAGGTGAAATCTGAACAAGGGCACACACAGCAAAACAAACTGTACAGAGGGTTAACCCTTCCCTATGCTATCCAAAAATAAAATTGGGGCCTGGAGTTACACTTAAAAAATTTACCTGTTCCAACTTGCATACAAATTCAACTTAAGAACAAACGTACAGTCCCTATCTTGTTTGTAACCCCGGGACTGCCTGTACTTTAAGCTGAGTGTGACCACCAATGTAGAATGCGTTTTAATTGTGGACATTTTATCTCGGGCTTTTAATGACCTTGGATCAATTATGGTTCTTAGAGTAGTCTTTTGAGGATGCATGCAATTTGGAAAGAGATTTCCATTTTTATTATGAATGTTATTGAATAATAAACATGATACATTATAAAAGTTTTAACAATATTCTCCGATCTCTTATGGCACAACACCACTTTGTTGAATCTCTTGAGACAGCGCCACCTGTCTCAGCTGTCAGGAACTACACAGAACATCAGTCGGCTTCCCTGGCAGTCACGAAGCCGGGTAGCATCTCATTACCCGCTGCCCGGCTTCCTGATTGCCGGGAAGCCTGCTCCATGCAAACGGAAGCACCGATACTCGGTGAGTACCGAAAGCAAAATATCGGTACTCTATACCCAAAAACCGGTATTGGTGCATCCCTAGTTTTAATTAAAACTATTTTTTTTTTTTTTATTGGGACAAGTAGATTTGGCCCCCGCTTTAGCCCTTGGACAAGTAGTTTTTTCAAAAATTTCCACACCCCTGCTCTATCACAGTTGCGTTTCTTAAATAAGGCCCATGGAGTGTTTAGGCTGATGCGGGCATCTGACCTTGTATACACAGTGGAGCTGGCATCAATAGACACTCTTCTCCCCCCTCCACGTCACCCTGGTCCAAAAGTCATGTAATGAAGAGGATACAGGGGAGATCTCCAAGTATGTAATTACCCGTCATTGTGTAATCACTTGCTTGGCACTCAGTACCCAGTTTATATCCTACACACACTGCACACATTGTGTTCTTGTCATCCGATAGTATTGCACAATTGTCATTTTAATTATCTTTGTATTTGTTTTCCACATTACCTGGAATGTCAGTGGTATGGATTTGGCAATTTTCACATAGGCTGGATACAGTGACCCAGGCAAGCCACAGATCCACGAGGAAACGGGTGGTTTATCGTGCACTGTCTGGGTCGCCCATAACACAATAAGGCTCATTCATAAAAGCGATTCGATGAAACAATATGGCTATTGGTTACGACAACCAGTTGGGTAGCTTCTTGTGTTTTCTAACCTGCATTAGATGTATGAACTGGATTTTGCATGTTGTGGGCAGCAGGCCCAATTTGCTTAGCTCCAGCTTTTTATTAAGCTCTGTATATTGTGAAAGATATTCTGGTATGTTACATGAGCCCTGTGTTGAACCTGCTTGCTTATTCTCCTAGGAAAGTCTCACTTGGCCATTGTACAGAAGGTCAACAGCGAAGGAGAAGGAGATCCGTTCTACGAGGTGTTGGGACTGGTAACTCTTGAAGACATTATTGAAGAAATTATTAAATCTGAGATTTTGGATGAGTCGGATCTTTATAGTAAGTTCCTGATTGTCACTTAAAGCTTCTCTTATCTCTGTAATAGCAATGCTAAACACACATAGGGAAAAGCAAATGTTTTTATGTAAACAAATGTTACAGGGTGCGTTTTTACTGTATCTCAGCTCATCTACTTATGAGGAGAACCTTTTGCCTTACTCCTATAAGTGAATATTGGTTTATCACAGTGGATATCCTGAAAAACTGTGAATACCCGGATAAGTGGCAGACCTAAGGAACTAAAGGGCCCTGGTGCAAGATATTATCTTGGGCCCCCCACCCCCTGGCTGTAGGGACTACAAATCCCAGCAATGCACTATACAGCAATGCAGACAGTATATGAATTGGACTCTGGACTTAGTAACGGACTGCTCTCAGAACTTAGTAACACTCGGGACTTAGTAACGCACTGGACTCTGGGCTTGGTAATGCTCTGGGCTTGGTAATGCTCTGGGCTTGGTAATGCACTGGGCTCTGTGCTTGGTAACACACTTGGCTTGGTAGCGCTCTGGGCTTGGTAACGCACTTGGCTTGGTAGCGCTCTGGGCTTGGTAACGCACTTGGCTTGGTAGCGCTCTGGGCTTGGTAACACACTGGACTCTGGGCTTGGTAACGCACTGGACTCTGGGCCCACCTGAGACCCTGTATGGTTGGTTCTGCAGGGTCACTTTTTCCTGCACGTGCCGGACTGGCGCTGCTGGGGCGCCCGGCCTCCTTCACCTCCTTCCCTGTCAGTGGGGCCCCCCTCAGCCTTGGGGCAGCTGCACCGCCGATAGTTCTGCCCCTGACACTGTTTGAGATGGAGAGGAAGCTCTCCCTTTAGAAACTCCTGTGTTTATTCTGGACAAGATATCTTTTCGTGCCACCCATAAAGTGTAGTGTCCTTTTAGACAAACCACTTTATCTTTGTGGTTGGACTCCAGTTAATAAAGTACTATTGCTTATAAGTGGGCTGTGGAAGGTAGGGACCCTTGTGTGTTACAAGACCGAGTAGTCCCAAGCAAATATAGATTAAAAAAACAAAACCTTTGAACAGACCTGTTAAGGTAGATGTTTGGGAGCTGGCACTGTTGACTTTTTTTCTTGAGGTACATGCTCCACGGTTGTGATCCTGACTTACTACTTGGTGAGTCCCTTCCTTCGGACTAGTATGTGTTCTCCTGATGCATGCCCTTTTTAAAAGATTAGTCCTCATGTAACACGCTCCTATGCATCTGTCCCACCGTCAGGACCTACTTCTGGTGAAAGTTACTCATAGATTTCTGTGGGTGGGACAGCTAAAACAGGCCAATGTGTTTTTGTTTGGAATTGAATTCTTTATCCTTACATTGTTTCCCTATGTTACTGATGAATGAATGCATCTGATGGTGAGAACCATGTCGTGTCCTCAATAAAAGGTGCCACCTTACTCAGGATTCTGACTTTGCCGCCTTTTTTGCTACATGAGAGGAGGAGCCTTGCACCTTTTTGCCACATGAGGAGAAACCCGGCCTTGATCTCAGAATCTAAGATGGCTAGTCGGCATATTGTGAGACTGGCCAAAAGGAGACAAAAACATAGATCGTTGCAATGTACTGTGTGCGTTATCGTTACTGAATAGAACCATGCAAGTCATTCCTTTATGCCCATGTGGCTAATTGTCTATCCAGATGTACATTTAAATCTGGATATGTATTACACATCTATAGTCCAATATTACTATGTTATTTATGACGACTTGCATGTAATTGCTTCAGACTTTTTGATCCTCACCAGCACAACCTATGGAAAGCATGTATCTGTAAAAAGTAAGTCAAGGCAACTGGACTTGCTGTATTTTTCTTGGAAACGTTTCACTGGACATCCGACCTGCTTTCTCAATGCAGAATGACATGCACACAAATTATCTGGGAATAAATAAAGATGAATGTCGCTCCAATCCGCATAATCTGTTAGTCACAACCAGGTGTCATTTGCATAATTGGAGCTAGGTGTCAATTATGTAAATACAATCAACACCTGGTTGTGACTAACAGATTATGTGGATTGGAGCGACATTCACCTTTATTTATTCCCAGATCATTTTTTGTACAAGTCATTCAGAATTGAGAAAGCTGGTTGGATGACCAGTGCAACGTCTTCAAAACAAATACAGCAAGTCCAGTTGCATTGACTTATTTTTTACAGATATACCATGACCTGGACGAATGAGTACCTTCACACACATATGGAAAGCATGGTTTTTTGAATGGAGGCCATTGTAGGATCAAAACATCTGAAACCGCTTTATGCAAGTGGGAATATGACACTTCAATTGGATGTCCCCAGAATACTTACTGTGTATGTCATGGATCCACCTTTTGGTTGTATTTTTCTTGTCAACTTAGACTTTGTGTTTAATGTGGATATTACTGGTTTGGCATGGATGGTTTCTTTATAAACATACCAATGCGCTATGACAGAGAAATATGTAGATCTCGTGGAAGTTACGAAAGCCTTTTGGGAATAAACTACAGCTGGGAGCTAAAATCATTTTACATTAATGTGAAGTCTTGAGTCTGTTATACTATAGATACAAAGGGCTTTTCTGTTAATGTGAAGTGGGCAGAATTTTTATTTTTTAATGGAATATTTGAAGTGGAGCTACACCCTTGTATATTTTACAAGGAAGGTGCAAACTTAGCCCCTTTTGGATTGCAATAGCCATAGAACTGCACGTGTGATCAGATATGACACCGGCCATTTCAGGGCTTGGAGGTTCAGTTGAGACATGAAATAAGCACATTGACAGCCTTGACAGTTGCCATGCCATAAAAGAAACTCTTTTGGGAGACCATTAAATTGGTGGGTAAAGTTCCGCTTTAAATATTTTTTGCATGTATACAATTAAATTGTCATACGATATTATTGATGTTGGCACAATTGTGTGATAGTCTGGCACCATATGGAGTGAAAACTATGGTAGGATTTAAAACCTGAGCATAAAGCCTTTAACTGAGCAAGCTAAGAATTTCGACATTTTACCGTTCTTTGCTGATAGTGTAGGAGACCCATACCAAGCAGTGATGTCCAGGATGACCTAGGCTCAGAAGTGAGTTGTATGATGCTGGCCAACAGACTGAGGATAACTAGTGGCAGAAAAATGACTTTTTCAGCTCTCCTCCCACACCCTCCAACTCCTGTGTCAGGATGGAAAGCGGGGCGGTGACAGTTGCCATCCAACAGGAGGTGGAGCTCCCCTGCATCTCCCAGCTCCTCCTATGTCAGGATGGAGAGCGGAAAGTGGAGCAGAGTGTGTTGATCTGTCACAGGAGGAGGAGCTTTGCCTCCTGTGTTGGGATGGAGAGCGGTGTGGGGTGGTTACCGCTGTCATCTCACAGGAGGAGAAGCTCTCCCCCACCGCCCGCTGGCCTTCTGTGAAAGCCGATTCAGGATGGAGAGTGGTATACAAACTCTCAGCAAGCAGAGTATTTGTAAATAACTGGGACATAGTAAGTTCACTATGTCCCAGTTATGAATGGATGGGAAGTGATGAACTTCCTATTCATAATTGTGGACATAGTAACTCCTACTATATTCACAATGTATGAATGGACAGGAGCACTTTGAGTAGAGAATTCCTGTTCATTCATAACGGGCTGCAGAAAAGGAGATTGAGGACTTTCTGTTTTTCTGTTTTAGGAGGTATATTAGGGCTCTGTTTAGACCCCAAATGTTTCCCCGAAGCCCTCAACAGTAAAGCAAAAAAAAAAATTGAATAAAAAAATTTAACATTTCAACAAGGTTGAAAAAAAACTTAATTTTCTGCTTGCCAATTTTTTATTTTCCGTTTTCGGTCTCAAAATTCAATTTCGGTGCATCCCTAGTGTTTGTTTTTCGCAGTGGAGCCTGCAAAGCATTGCATCTGCGTTTAGTGGATCTTGTGTGCAGTGGTCTGGCTCCTGCAGACCTGAAGGAAGTTATCTATGAACTGCATTGTAGTTCATTGAGGTCTTCGAGTCCCTCGGCCATGGTGGCAGATGGCACTTTTTAGAATTTTCATTCACAGATCCTGTGACTGGATCTGTGATTGAATGACATGAAGCCATGCACATCCACGCTGAATTCAAATCTAGAGGAGCTGCTGCGGGGAGTAACACGCCACAATACAGTAACGGGGTGGGTGGCTGTGTACTGTGACCATGTTCTACCCCAAATATCAGTGTGTCATGAAACATGGTCAGAAAGGTGGAATCAGAATTTAATACACTCCTGCATTCCTTTTTTGATTTTAGGATTGTTTTCCCTGAATAATGAAATTAAATTATTTTTCACTGAAGCTTCTAGATTTAGCAAATTGTTATTTTTCTGTATTTTGTTTATACATTCTATTTCTCACGAAATGTCCAGATCAGCCCTCACGTACAATGCTACCTCCACATTTGACTGCAGTGTTAGATTTTGTTCCACATGTTTTTTCATCTGACCGAAAAACCTTTTACTTGTCTAAACTGGGTCACTTTTATACGTTTTGGCAAGCTGTATATATTTTCTTTTACATGGCTTCTTTTAGAACACTCTGGCATACATGCAAGTAATTTGCATTAGCCACTAGAGGGTAAAAGTACTGAACTATGTATAAAAATACCCCAATAAAAAGCCATCACAGAACAAAAAACCCCCTTTGTATGTCTTACAATAGTAACTAAAAATGTGTGCTCGCTGGATATAAACTACAGTCTTGACAGTTATTAAATATAACAATTAGGAAGCTGTGCCCAATAACAAAACACAAACAGAAGTGACTTCAACATTTTCTGATTTACCCTAAATATCTCATATAGCATTTGTGTCACGTTGGAATAAATTAAAAAAAAGTACCTTCAGTGTCTTAGGGGTTCGCCCAGCGTATAGCCGGTGTTCTACCAAAGTTTGTGACTAGGTTGGAATGTGTGACCAGTGACGTGGTCACACATTTTAGCGTAATCCCGCCCAGTTTTTCGGCGGTGGAATGTGTGACCAGTCACGTGGTCACACATTTT